GGGGTGTCAGAGTAGATGGAAGGAATAAAGGGTGATAGATTAGGAGGGTCCAAGAGCGTAGCCACGCTGAAATTCTCTGTGACCTTGGCTAGAGAAAAAAATTCTAGTACTTCTTACATTGTAACTTTTGCTAGGATACGCGAGAAATTCGATTCCTCTTCAAACAAAACCAAAAAAACAACAAAGACAAGAAAGAATGGAAATTCTACTTGAGATATTTTGAGTTTGACTTTCCACCAGGAACAAATGAATCAGATTGCACAAAACAATCACTCAATGAACAGGGCAGAGAAAAGACACACGGAACATTCCCCTAGGAGAATGCGAGGTAGGAAGTTGTTCAAACGAACAAATCCTCACAAGTATAATAAAAGGAGGGGGGGGGGTGTGCGATAGACTTACCTCCACGTGGTGCACCCTGGGCAACGTATACTCATACGGCAAGAAAGTCTATTAACCGGCAGTTGACTTCTGGCTTCATACTATCATCACCCCACTGTATGTCATATTCGACCCCTTTTACAGTACTCACCTCACCTTTTCTCTACCTTTGTGTCTGTCTGTCTCTTTAACATCTTTGAATCCCCCTTCTGTTCCCCCTCTCCACTTTTTTTCTCACTTTGATGTTCCTCCACCCCTCTGTGAAGCCCGAAGTCAGCTAAAGGGCTAATGTAACTAACAAAACGCCTGCCATTTGGTATAAATAAATAATAAAAAGGAAAGTTCTAGTCTTGAAAGAATCAATTTAACTCACTGAAAAGAGCAATAAAAATGCATTCATTTAACAAATATTGGAATAGACATTAATCAAAAAAGAGAAACCACGAATACGATCAAGTTCTAGCGCGTGATGTGATAAGCACTTTATTTGCTTTTTTAAACATAAGTAGTACTTGATGACCATATTTTGGTTTAGATAGCACACCTTTCTAAATCCTACCTATATAAATAGAAAATTAAACCAGATGTAATACAATTTTGCATGCATTCCTATTAATTAAAATAAGTGCCAAAAAGTAATTGGTAATTAAAAATGTGCTACTGACATTCACTTATCACATGGAGTCAAAACGGTTATTGTTCACAAACACGAAGACGGAACAACAGAACAAGAATCTTTGAAGTGCAGAATGATTAACTTTTTATCGCATCTTCGTTAATTTAAAAATTAATAAATAAGGAAGAGCATTGACTACACAACTTCACCCATTATAATTCAAAATTCAACTTTCATGGGAAAAAAACTAACATTTCATTTGCCTATCTTCAATTGAAAGTAACCATGGCAACGAAAAGAGGGTATTTTCACGATATTAATAATCGACCAACAGAAATAAAGCAATTATGGCAAAATAATAATTTAAAAGTAGAGCCATGCACTCGCCTTCACTTTATACGACTCAAATTGTTTCTGCAGTACACTGACACGTGCCTCAATTCTTTCCTTTTCTTCCTTCACCTCAACCAGCTCCCTTTCCAACGCCATCTTCTCCTGAGCAGCCTGGAGAATGTTGCGTTTAGCTGCTTCAAGCTCCTCTTTAACACCTTCCAACTCCTTTTCCACTTCATTCACCCTATCGGCCTTCTTTTCAGCCTCATTGGCGTCTTTTCGAGCTCGCATCAGGAGCTGTTTAGCGCAGGCAAGTTTCTCCTGAAGAGAGCCCACCTCGGCTTGAGCTTCAGCAGCACTCGTTTCGGCGTCAGTGGCTCGAGAGACCGCGGTGTCCAGGGCGGAACATTTCGCCTCCAACTCGATCTGGAGATTGAAAATGGCTTGGCTTTGCTCTACCTAAGCATCAATAGACGAACACAAAATAAAGTTTGTTAGAAACATGATCAGAGCTATAGTTGATTGTGCAAAATGAATCATCAGAAAACAGATAGCCAGAATTTTTGCAGAAGAGAAAAGCATGCCATGCAATGAGAATATTTGCCTTAGAACTTTTCTCAAAAGGCACAAAGAAAGCCGAAAGTAGAAACGACAAACATGTGATCCAAGCGAGCTTCACAGATGACTAGGACAGATCTGCTTTTTTTCCTCCCACAGCCTATTTAGACAGACGACTAAGAAAAAAAAGCTGCTGTTTGGACCTGTGAACGATTCTGCAAAATACCATCTCAAGATGGAATTCAATGCTTAAGGGTGGGGTGCGCAATAGACTTACCTCCACGTGGTGCACCCTGGGCAACGTATACTTATACGGCCAAAAGTCTATTGATCGGCAGTTGACTTCTGACTTCAAATTTCTATGGCCCGACTATTTTTCATATTCGAAACCTTCCACAGTACTCATCTTACCTTTTTATGCCTTTGTGCCTGTCTGTCTGTCTCTTTTACCTCTCTGAATCATTATTCTGTCTCCAATCTCGACTTTTTGTCACTTTGATGTTCCTTCTCCTCTCTGTGAAGCCCCGAAGTCAGCTCCAGGGCTAATGATAACTATCAAAACGCCTGCCATTTGATATAAATAAATAAATAATGCTTAAGGGTCTTGGATAGAAAGCTTCGAAGAAAAACTTGTAACACCGCTAGCCGTGAGGCAAGTTA